ATCCACTTTCACGTGAGATGCGCCAACCGTGCACCCGACCACACATTTGATACATAAATACTTAGGTAGATATTGAAATATTATAATATTAATATATATTAATTTATATAACTTTCCCAGATTCGGTCCAAATCACGTGCAACTGGCTTATTTTTCTAATTTTTCACTAAGAAACAGAGGGGAAGAAAGAGGGGAGGAAGAGGCGGAAGGAGAGAAGAAGAAAGAAGAAGAAAGAAGAAGAAAGAAAAGAAAGAAAAGAAAGAAAAGAAAGAAAAGAAAGAAAAGAAAGAAAAGAAAGAAAAAGAAAGAAAAGAAAGAAAAGAAAGAAAAGAAAGAAAAGAAAGAAAAGAAAGAAAAGAAAGAAAAGAAAGAAAAAGAAAGAAAAGAAAGAAAAGAAAGAAAAGAAAGAAAAGAAAGAAAAGAAAGAAAAGAAAGAAAAGAAAGAAAAGAAAGAAAAGAAAAGAGGACGGAAGAGAAGGAAGGGAGGGGGGGGGAGGGGAGGGGGAGGGGGAGGGGAGGGGGAGGGGAGGGGGAGGGGAGGGGGAGGGGAGGGGAGAGGGGGAGGGGGGAGGAGAGAAGAGAAAGAGAAAGAAAAGGAAGAAAGGAGGGGAAAAGGAAAAGAAGAGAAGAGAAAGGGGAGGAGGAGAGGATTAAGAGGGACGTAATAGATTAAGATTGAGGAAGGATTATTTTAAAAAAATTTATAGAATAATTTATTAAACGGTTTTTATTTAAATAAATATATAAATTTATATAAAAATTTTATAATTTTATATATTTTATATATTATTTTTTATTATTTTATTTATATTTTATTTCATTTATATTTATATTTTTATTAATGTTTTTAAAAAAATAATATTTAAAAATTATAGAAATTTCATTTGGTTACAATGCAAGTGGGGTATATGCATGGGGTTAGGTACAGTTTTAAATGGCCGTGCATGGTGGCTTGTGGTGGCTTGTAGTGGCTTTCATCACGTGCAAAGTGGATGTGCTGTTTCTTTAGTCGATCTGTACTGTGTCTTTAGAGTTACTGGTTAAATTGTACGTGGTGTAGGTATGTGCAATATTCTCAATGTTGGATTAACTATACGTAGATATTCCTAACTAGAATCCCATCGTCCCCCGTAGTTATACATATAGTACTGTAGATTTGCACGTAATATCCCCTCGTTTAGGAACGGTTAGTTAGGTAGCCCATGCATCCGCAATATGTATGTACCTAAGATATGTATGACCCCCAAGCTTTTCTCGCCTCCCTAGTAAATAGGGGACCCGGCAACGCACAGAAGAAGAACCACGGCGGAAGCTATGGCTAGCCCGCGCGAGCATATATGTACGTATGTGCATATGTACATGCGCGCCCATCTCAATACATACCATACATATCGAAGGCTGCGCCGGCATTTGCGCGGTAAGTTCCGGACGGGCGGTTCCTATTCGCGGACGCCTTGTTCGTCTCTCTGCAGCTGGCGTTGATATGTATGTATGTATGTATATAGGGATTTCTTATGCAGGGTACCGGGAGCAGGCCAGATGTCAAATGCCAGGGCCAGGGGCGGCGGTTCTTAGATGCATAGGTACGGTAGGTAGGTAGGTAGGTAGATAGTGTAGTAGCCTATGAGGCGTCGTGGCCAAGCTGTCATTACTCGCTTGCAGAGAGCGCTCGCTTGTCCGGAAGAACCCGATGCTGCTGCTGCTGCGAACTAAGGTCTGTCTGTGGGATTTTATGTATGTAGATATGTAGGTATGTCATGTCGGTACGATATGATATGATACGATACGATACGAAATATACGGGTTTGCTTTGAAGACGGTGGTGTGTCTGGATGGAATTGGTAGATAGATAGATGGATGGACAGGATGGCTTTGGATTTAGGGGGTTTGTTGTCGGTAAGGATACCGAACTTACCTACCTACCTACTTACCTACCTACCTGTAATGAGGGCAGGGTAGGTTAGGTCGTATCATACCTAACTATGTAAGAGCTCGGGATGTCTATGTATGGAGATGATCTAGTGAGGATACATATATACCTACCTAACATCCTACAGGGCATCAGGACCCAGGCAAGTCAATGCGATACTACTTTCCCAGCATTAGTGCTGTAGTTACATAGTTAATAAATTAGTAAGTCAAAGAGCCCTCGTAGAAGCTTACTAGCCGCTCTCTTGGAAAGTTCATAGACGGATACTACTTCATATTGGGTTAGAATATATATACAACTCGAAGTCATGCCGTCTCCTATATACAAGATGCGTAGATATATAGGTAGATACCCCGGGTAGGAGGTATATATGTATATACGTGATCCCTCCAGGGAAATACTTGGTTAGGCAATTATAAGAACCATACATAGGTACATACACCTACATCTTAACTACCTACCTAAGTCACGTAGATTCGTTCTCTAAAGTCTATGTAGAGAGAGGCATTTAGCCAAGGCTAACAATATACTACACACATCGGGCATTCCTCCTCCTTGGAAATATCCGCGGGCCAAGATGTAGTAACTACCTACCTACCTACCTACCTAACCTTAGTGCTCTGGCATAAGATCTAGTAACTACCTATCTCCTAACCTAGGTAAGTCGCTGATGTTATAGGTACCTATGTAAGACGGACACCGTGGAAAAGAGTTTACAGATAGTCAGGATGGCCGGAGAGATATTAGCTCTGTCGAGGAATAAATGCGTCGCAGTGCTTGACAACCTCACAGTTAACACTTAATTCATTCGTATTCCTACCGTCCGTAGTAGCAAAGTCTATGCGAGACGACTTATTTCCCGGGGCGAAGCATGTTGTTTAGTAAAGTCGTTAAGCAGTGAAGTATGAGACCCTAAGACCTAAGTCAGGGCGTAGAACAGGTATGAGATTAGAGTTCACGAGTGACAATTCTCTATTATCGACGAGGCATGTGTATTAACTATACCTAGACGACAGAATCCTATGATAGGTAGGCACTCGACTCTTATAACCATGTCGTGCTATTCCATTAGCAAACGAGCCTCAAGTCAAAATATCTAACCAGCCCTAACAAGCTCCATCTTCGCACCCCTCTTGCCCGTCGCCTCATCCTTAACATCCTGTATACGCACCACCACCTTCATAAACAGCTCAACACTAACCTCCCGACTCCCACTAGTCTTCAGCGTATATGTATCCGCATCGAACACGCTCTCCGGCTCCGGCTCCGCCAGATCCCGTAGTCGAATCAGGCCCTCGATACCAAACCTCGGCACCAGCACCACGAACCCGTTGCTGAATATCTTCATCACGAACCCTTCTTCCTCCGCGACCCGGCCCCGTAGCGATTGTCCGACGTAGTACGCTACGCTGGCGCGGCCCGCGAGCTGCGCGTTGCGGTGCCGCACGTTGATGTTCTTGCACACGGCTTCGAGGCGCCCGCGCGAGCGCACCGACGGGTGCATTGGCTCGTACTCGATGGCGGCTGCGAGCTGGCGATGGGCGACGAGGTCGGCATATCGTCGGATTGGACTCGTGTGAAATGTGTGTAGATCTCGGACGCGAGACCGTAATGTCGGAACTCGGGGAATGCTTGGGTACCTGCGCAGAAGTATTCGGCGCTCATCATGCACCGCGTCGCCATGATACGCACCAGCGTGTTGAAAAACGGATCTCGCGCGTCTACGCATTGGTCTAGAGAATCGGCCAGCGCTTTTGACGAGTCGAAGTGTAACTCGATTCCGCGCTTCACCTTGAGCTGGTTGGCTAGCTCGTCAAAGTTAGTCTTAGGTGGTGCGGCGTGGCGTCGTAGGATGGCTGTTTGTGGGAAGGCCTCATAGATTTTACCCGCAACGCTGATGTTGGCGAGTAACATGAACTCTTCTACAAGGGAGTTGGTATCCAGAAGCGCCTTAGTCTTCACGTCAATCGGATCTGAGGTTTCTGATTCCATCTCGACCTTGACTTCGGGCGATGAGAGGCTCAGAGCTCCGGCGTCCATTCGCTTCTGTTTTAGCTTCTTCGATAGCATTAATAGCGTTCTCATACCCTGGGTTAGGTCATCCTGTTGAGATGCATCGTCGATGCGTAGTTGTGCCTGCTCGTAACTGAATGCTTCACGAGACTTGATAACAGACTTGGTGAATCTCACGTTGATGATATCAGCGTCTTGATTGACTTCCCATAGCACCGAAAACGCGTAACGCTCTACGTACGGTTTCAAGGAGCAAAGGTCGGTACCTAGCAACATCGGCAACATATCGATACGCTTGTCTACTAAATAGACGGTCGTTCCTCGGATGCTTGCCTCGGTGTCCATAGCGTTGCTCGGCTTCACGAAGTGTGAAACATCTGCAATATGAACACCGACTTCGAAGTTTCCATTTGGTATTGGTCTTGCGTGTAACGCGTCATCGATATCCTGACAACCAACAGGATCGATACTACAGATAAGAAGGCCTCGAAGGTCCTCTCGATCTTTCCAGCCAGGATCGTCAGTGCTAGGTGGTACATCCAATCGTGTCCCTCCTTAGGGAGACAATCTAGCACCGTCTTTGGGAAAGGTCTGTATTGGACATCGTACTCGAGCAGTAGCGCCTCAGTCTCCGCGGCCTTGCTCTCCAATTCACCCAGAGACCTGATAAAGTGACCGACGGGGTGTCTAGATTCGCGATCCCACGAATCGATTGCAACGAGTATTCGCTTTCCGACAATCTCGCCAGCTTGCCTTGTACGTAAGCGGATCTTTGGTACTTTCTTATCCATCGGGATTAAGAAAACACTTTTGCTTGCTTTCTGCCTTGGGTGCCAGATCGGCCAACAGATGATGGATCGACATGACCAACATATTGACGCCAGTTTCGCTTGACTATACCGACCACTTTCGCAGTAGGCTGAGGTCGACCTTCTGTGCTTAAACCTTGTGTCTTTTTGACTTGCTCTTGTAGAGCTCGCCTCTCCTGTTCGGTGACTATATCACCACCTTCTTCATTATCGGCACTTTCGTTCTTCGTGATAGTCTCTTCCTCGATAATCTTGGTAGAAGGCACCTTCCACTGGTCTTGGGGAAGAACTTCCACGACCACAACATCTCCGTCTACTGCACGGTTGATGTTTTCACGTCCGAGAACAATGAGTGCTTTCGGAAACGCGGGGACCTTGATCGAGGCTTCAAGGTAATTGTAGGGCGATACATTAAAGATACCCTGATGGAGGATGCCACTCTTGACTCCTGTCATCATCTTTGAGAGGGTATAATATTCGGGATATAGGAATTCAGAGGTATTCTTATCTCTGGAGATGCCCTTCTCTTGCGATTCGGGAATCATATCGAGTAGTCGATCTGCGTCCTCGAGTCCTGATACGTAGTCACGTAATGTAGTGGCCGGAACATTCTCCTTTTTTGCCTTTTCGATATTTAATCTATCGTCTGTAAGCATAACCGTCACCGGTAACTGCTTGCTCTTGCTCTGGTTTAGGTGGTCATTGTACCACTTGACAGCTTGCCGTACAGCCCTGTCATTCCTGTCGTTGATGGTTTCGTCCCGTTCTCGAGGTACGTAGGTCTCGAATCTGAACTCGTTGAAGAAGACATAGAAACGCTTATCTTCGCTTTTGGTCAGGCCAATCAGCCGATTATATAGCGGTAAAGATCTGTTCCGTAGCTCCTCTAGGACGGTCTGTAAAATAACAACGTCATAAAATGCAGAGCTCTGTTCGAATAGATCCATGGCATTAAGCAGAGCATTTGTGTCTGGTACAAGGTAATGTCCTTGCGGGTAAGCCTTGGTACCTGCTGGCTTGTCTGAGAGGATAAACGGGCTCACTAGAGTTGAAGTTAGTCTCGATAACTATGAGAGCTTCTTGCTAACTGAATACGAAAACTCACACTCTCCGCCCGCGTTTCTTGGTGCTTTGGCAAGACATTTTGAACATAGCTTGGATGAACAAGGAATATCTTCACGAAGATAGACTTCGCGCACAATCTTTTGGACCTTGCCGCTCTTGGTAGATCTCACATATGTCTTGCTTGAGAGATTCGGAGAATACGAGTCGGTACCCTGCGGTCTTTTGAGACTCGTCATCTTGAATATAGGTTTCCCTTTATTAATATTTTAGTTTGGTTCGTTTGGCATTAGAATTAGAATTTCCTAGTGCTAGAAGTTTGATATGAAGTTTTGTATTTTCAATGTTCAATAACGAAGGCGAAGGCAATGGCGCGGCTGGATGATCAAATTGTAATGCAAATCGTAGTGAAATTGTACAGCGTCACTTAAGCGCGGCTTATCGATAAAAGGTTTGATTGATATCAAGTTATTGATTATCTAATCTAATGTTAGGTACCTAAGTTAACAGGTACTAAGGTACTTTCTATTGCCAGTTGTCATAGCCGCCACCGGTCCGTCAGTATATATTTATTAATTGAGTACCTATCGCATAAACTATACTATTTCAATATCATTAAACCTCAAACTCCAAGATCAAAGACCCAATATCTTTATTTACTATTCGAATAAATTTTTACGTAAATAATTACTATAAATCAAGATTTTACATATCCACTACCAACTTTAACTCATGTGATGTGTGATCCCTATACCCTTTTATTAATTAAACGTCCAAGCACCTTTTCCTTATAATTCCTAAGCATCGACTATACCTAACTAGTTACCTAACCTACCTGTTAACTTAAACTTCCCGAGAGACTACCGGAAAAAAAGATATCCGCATGAGCCGTGAAACTCAACAGGAGACCTATAAGTAAATACTTACTACAAGGTTCTTCCTCCCCCCACTTCCCAGGCCGCCTGTCCGCCTGCCCGCCCGGCTCTTTCATCACCTCAAACACGGGCAACTTGCCGGGCGCAAGCCCGTCGCAAAGAGGGATGCGATGCGGTTGCGGATCTATATTAAATCTGACTCATATGATCCACAAATTCAACCGGCAGATTTTCCCGCGGCGCGCTGCCCTGTTCTCATTGGTATCTCCCCCCGTCGATCGACGATATGCGCAACCCTTCAATTTTAAAAATAGCATTAAATAGCATTACGGCAATTATAACATCTTGTATCTGGTGTTGCCATTGTTGCGTTCTTGTCTAAGAGTTGTGAATATGTGCTGATTTCTTGCAAGGTGAAGGTAGGAGAAGGAAGGAAAAAAACAGGTCTACGTGATGGAGACATGGAGTCATTCTCACTAAATAGGGCGAGATCGACGATGGCTTGGGAAGTAGGTCTCTGAACGGCAGCAAAGTGGTACGATAGCCTACCTATTATACGGGCGTATTTCTTACCAGCTTCCAAGGTCGGCAGGCCATGTGAATAGTCACGCCTGAGCCGGTGTGGCGGGAAAACACGCTACTTTCGCGTTCTACGGTTGCTATCACGGTCGTGATGAATGTGCAAGTGGCCGCGATGGCGCGCAACGACTATAGCCTCACTATTCTATTAAGACGCTGGGGGACAGGCAAGCTGGTTGACTGACTGACTGACTGACTGACTGACTAGGCGTACTGCATGTAGGGTGGTGGTGCTGCTTCTAGGTGCCTGGTCGATCCCGCGGCACTTAGGAATGGTAAACTACATCGGACGATATATCAGCATCGCGTGGAGTGCGCCATTGTTCAACCCATAGTCTTCGCAAGTTGTATCCCGTTGCGCAAGTGCGCAAGTAATCAACATGGGCTGTTTTATATCAAAGTAAAAAAAGAAAAATACAAAAATAAAATAAAAAGGTTGAAAAGAAGAAGAAGAAGACTTGCGATATCGGAAGTTGATAAGAGGAAAACTTGATGATGTTCGGTACGTCGTCGACGCTGTGAAGCACGCCAACGTGGAGAATACGTCACTTCCGAATGTCTCTCGATGGGTTACCTAGAACAAGTCTTAGGGAAGGATTCGGCAAACGTGGTAGGAGTGTTGATTTAAACATGAAACATTACCATCAGCCACTGTTCTAAAACATTAAGGAAGGAAAATAAATAAAATATAAAATAAAAAGATGATAAAGAAACATGCTGGCTGCTGTGGCTAGCCTCTAGGAAGTTTGTCCGAATGCTGTGATACACTCGAGGTGTTGCCATATCGGATAGTGTTGGTTTCACCGATTAACTACAGACTTTGGGACTCTATCATGATTCGGTAGCGGAGAGTTGATGAGATTGGGTTTGAGATCTCTAGATCAGCCGTCTACCTGCTTCTGCTTGCTGCTTGCTGCTTGATGCTGCTTCTGAAGTTATACTACGTGACATTAACATGATCTCGTACGTACATGCGTCTACGTGCATTAGAGTAGATAGTCGATATGGGGGGAAAAGGGGGGGTGAGACCTATAGAGGAGGCCTCGTAAGAGACCTTCACTTTGGAGACTATCTAGCGCCAAGCCTCCTGGCTACGAATTCAGGCTTCGGCAGCGGCGCAGCTATAAATATTTTGTGTAAATTGCGTCATTGAGCGATGGCGGCGTTCTTCATTTGCTTCAAAAAAAGAAGAGGCCACATCTTTTGGCATTACATCCGTTGAAAAAAGCAATATGGTTCTCTCCAGAAAAAATATATACCTATATGTAATACATAGAAAATAGGTAAATTGTTTTGTGATACGTTCGTCCACCTAAAGTAAAAGAGAGGCTATCGACGCAGCAGGAATCTAAGCTAAAAACGATCAATTGTGGATGCTCGGCCGCCTGCAAGAGCGGGTAAACAGGGATCTGGGAAATCTCCCGCTCTGTCGTGCCATGCAGAAGCAACGGACGAGCAGGTCATGGTAGGCTGGTAGGCACGTCTGAGCGTTCCTCAGTGGGTCGGCAGCTCGATAGACAGATCGTGGAGTGCACTCCTTCGAAAGAATCTGCCGAAGGAGGAGGGCAAGCCAAAGCCATGGGGTTTGTTGGTGGCGATGCCGCCGCCTATTGTACAACTACACTAGGTATATTACCTACATACCTACACAGTACCTTTCTCGCCGGGCGGGATGGATTCATGGCTGTGCCAAACTGTCAAAAAGAGAAGGCTTACGCTTGTGCTCCCGTGAGAAGCATTAAGCAAACAACCTCTTTCTCGGTTGGCCCGGACGGTTGCAGACGCGAGTGTGGGGTTTTAAGCAAGCCACACTTACACGAGGAAAGATAAGGACACCTTAGTTTAGATCGAGGGATAAAAGAAAAAAAAAAAGAGGGATCTATGCGACGCGAGAGAAGACGCGACTGCATGCCGAGTGTACCATAACCCTGTCATCATGTCAGCCTGTTTTAGCAAGCTTCCATGGATTCATGGATTCATGGAGGGGTCCCCCCTAGGCAGATATGTACATACATATGCTAGGTACATAGCGTAGTAGGGGGGATCCATGGATGGGATCGTGAGCGTGGGGCGAGGACATGGACCGCAGGCGGCTTGGGCGGTAGCATTTAAGGTAGAGTGGGGATGAACAGGGCGCCAAGATAGATGATGATTTGCAGATGGTCTGTGGGTTCACGGCTCCAAGCTTTGAACATTCATTGTGTCAGCTGGTTGGCCGACAAGACCTCATCTCATAGCTTGGACCAATGGCGGCAGCGAGACCGTCCCTCCATAAAGTCCCCCAAGGTACAACCGAGGACCTCATTCTCAACACCGATCCCCCCCCTAACCTTAGGTAGCCTAATGCTCCTCATTGTGCTCCCCTCCTCTACTATAGTATACTCTTCCTCGAAGCCATCGCTTCACACCATCTTTCCTTGTCTAGTTAGTATAACTCGCTTCCCAGCGCGTTCTGGGCCGCTATAATCGTTCTTTCGTTCGCCCCATATTAGAGGCTCCCCACCGGTCACATGTAGTCCTATAGACGCTGATAATCCCAACCATCGTCTATCTATACTCGAATGACTGATATAGATCTGGAAGGTCTAGTTAACAGATATCATTTCTGATCGCATAGCAAGATGGTTTAGTGGAATCGCAAGCGGGAACCAGACCGCGAAGAGATGAGGGGTAATCTCAACTTTGACGCTCGACGGAACATCCGTTCCCGGTCGTCCCTAAGTGCCGGGGATAACAAGGTAATAAGTCAAGCTTCTGTTACGCCATGCGTACATGGCATTGTACTATTAGACATCCGGTGTTCATCCAAGGCAGAGAGCCCTAGGCGCGACCGATGACTAGAAGTTGAAAATATCTAATATGTCAAATTTCCTGCTTTCTTATCACCGGCTTCTTCCCCGTAATATTCTGGGTTAAAGCAATTATGCTATACAAGTGAAATCGTAAGATACAATTTCTCTTCGGTCTGTGTGTATTGTCTGTGTGTATTGGTTTCCTTCCCGCCGGTTCCGATTTATTCCTGTTGGTTACTGAGACCTTTGAGTCCAAGCCTCTTTCTATAGTCCACAATTACCTCTATTGTGGCCTAGTCCTTCAGCTGTGGCGTACTTTCGCATAAGTTATATTAATATGCAAGGATTATATTTGGCAGGCCAATCATGGCTTGTTTCGACATGTGTCGGCCGTGATGGAAGCCGGTCAGAGTCTGGGTTCGGCTCGTCTGATCATTGGTCCTAATGCTCAATGACGCTCTCTGGTTCCATCCTATACTTTTTGATGGGTCTTCCGACATATCGTGAAACATCTATATGTTGATTTGTTTCTTCAACAAGACTCTCCATGGTCGCTCGTTTGATGCCATGTGAGCTTGTGTGATATCTGTGAGCTCATAATCAACCGGGTCGTCGCAGCTCCCCACACGCCGGGATGACCTTGGTGCATCGGCAATCGTATACGCATCTGTCTTTATCCATGGCTAGATCCGTGATCGCTGCTATTTTTCTGGCCCTCGTCGTAAACAGATGATCGGCCTCCTGATAGTGGAAATCTGATAGAGCGACTCGTGACAGATGAGAAGAGGCTGGCAGGCTGGTATCCGGCGCCAAGTGGAGCTCATGCAGGTCGACGAATAGGTGAAGCTACATGTAGCTAGACCTTGGCTGCAGCATCGTGCAGGAAGAGAAGTAGACGGCGTAAGGCCTCGTCCTACCTAACCGTTTTAGTCCGTATGACACATGGACCTCTGATAGGTAACATCTCACAAACTCTGTGTTTACGTACATAGT